ATTTATGATACGCAATTTCATTTGATATTCACTGCAGAAAATTTTAAATCACTTTAAATGCGTTCTATATTTTTTCTTAATGCGTTTTTACCTAATTTATTCATCAAAATAAAATGTTAAACTTGTGTATTAGGTTTTTAAAAAATTAAAAAATACAAAGAACCTGTAGTTCAGACACACTTGGCTGAAATTCAAAATTAATTTAAAAAAATATATTAATTGGTGATAAATACATCTATAATAAATTTATAAATCGAATTTTATTTATATTATGTTGTTATAAATTTGTATTCTTAGGAACACTATATGATCATTATAAGTTCACAGTATTAAATTTTAAAAACTGTACAATAAATAATAAGTATCTCTAAAATAAAATTCTAATTTTCCAATTAGAAAATAATTATAACGTTATTAATTCGATATGAATATAACGACTTACACATTGTTAATATTTAAGAAGCCAATGAAACGATTATATTTAGTTCTGTTTCTGTATTGGGAGAGCTGCATATATATGTAACGATGTAAAAGAAAATAATTTAAAAACATCTTAAATTTACAAAGAGACTACAAAAATAATATTCTATAAATCTATATTTCACATAATACCTACATAAAACATTTTAAATTTATATTATTTCATCTCTTTCTGGTTTTTACAATCTTTTCTATTAAAATCAATTACTGTCTATGCAATAAAAGTGGTAATATTTTCTATAATATGTACCTATTCCTCATTTTTATTTTATATACATTCAAGTTAAATGTTCTCGTCTTTGTTGTAAACAATAACCGGATAATGATTTTTTAAATCGCTCTCATAGGATTTCGATACCGTTCATAATATTTACCTCCCCTAACTGTTATCATATACTATTTAATTATTACTCACTATACAAATATCCTGCAATAATTTGACCCTCCTACTTATTTACATGGGATAGATATACACGAGTATATATTCATCACTCTTGATAAGAAAGAAAGGTAAATATTTACTAATACGTAGTACATATTATATACTTATTTATTCTTAACCCCTCTCCTCTCAGTATTCTCTTCCTACCAAATATATTTTATATTTTCTTACGTGCCCTGTAAAAACAGTGTCTTTAGCAATGTAATATAATCGTGAACGTAGAACGACGCAGAAAATATTTACCCCTATGTGCATTTTAATAGTGGCTATAAGAATAAAATAGGAAATACTTACCCCCTCAGTATATTTTAATCATGGAAGTTTTTACCAGTCATGTGGGAAAACGTAGAATGTAATGATTAGTGGGTTAAGAATATTATAGTAGCCCCCCTTCCACCCCTGAAAACAGATTTTTTTTTTTATCGAAAGGGGAAGGAAGTAAATATACTCGTTTATTTTTGCCGGGAAAAATGTATTTTAATATATTTACACCCTGTTATAAATAAGATAGAGGGTAAAAATAACCCAAACTAATTTACCAGGGGTAAGAAAATTATTATCAATTTTCAACGGGGGAGGAGGTAATTATACTTAGTGGACATGAATATTACTATATATTACATACTATATTCCTATTTTTATTTTATAAGTTCATATTTTTGCTTCATTTTTTTTTTACAAGTACATATGTGACGGCTTTTGGTACAAAAGCCTTCACATAATTTTGAATATAAGCAAAATTATTTATAATACGTAGAATTTGTAGGTATATATATATATTTCATATATTCAAATCATATTTTGTCTGTTTTCCGTGCATACTTAGTTATTCATTTATTTGTGCATAAATCTCCCAACCCTATTAATAACAAATAATTGAATAATGATAGAATATGTGTCAATTATTCAATATTGTGTATAAAGGAATACCTACAATTAAATTCCAATTAATATACAATAATGTTGATTATTTTCAGTTAATAATTCCATATTTTGAACCATAGTAATTATTAATATTACTTATATAATTGTATTTATGTTATAGATTTCGTATACTACCATGGCAACCAATAATAAACCTCCAGAAATTCCGCCACGGAGAAATAGCTCAACACTTTTAATGAACAAGTATTTATAAATTTTAATCATTTCACTTCACCTAATTTAGTGGTCTTACTATGATTTGTGCTTTATTTGAAAAAATTGTGTTTCAATTTTAAACTTCAGAAGTGGCTTCTAAGTGGTAAATATTATCCCTTTACCTGTTGGTACTTAGAGAACGGTACCGCTGTTTATTCAATATTTTCAAGCATTTAAATAACGTAAAAACTTTTACGAGTTTTTAAAATATTAATTAAATTATTATTAATTAAAATATCTATAAATAGCTAAAAAGTTTTTCAAAATTTTACCACGTCTAGAAAAGGTAAATATAAATTGTCCATCCAAATTTCAAGTCTCTACGAATTTTTCTAACTGAGTTACAATAAAAAAAACAAATAGAAATAATAAAATCATCATTTTCGTAAATTTTCCCGTTCTATCTAAGATTTTTTTTTTGATTTTGCACAATTATTCAAAAAACTACACAGATAATCAAAAAACGAATTTTTTTTTTACGAACTAGATTAAATATTTAACAATAATAATCTTTTGTTGTTTTTTTATTAGAGTAATATTCCTGGTTCCCATAAAAATTTAAAACAATGAAACCGTTACGCTGTAAATTTGTCACTTTTCATTTTACGTTTTTTTCCAATTTTTCCCAATTATTATGAAAACTTCTGGAAAAATCAAAATAAGCCTCAATGTACCACTAGATAAAAAAATTTTTCGGAAAAGTTGCTACACTTGATTCATCGCGGAATAGGATTTTTGATAAAAAAAAATTGCTCACAGATGCAAAAAAAAAAAAAAAAAAAAAAAAATACAAAAACACAAATCATAATATTTCATTATTATAAACCAGTGATTCTCATCCTTTTGATCCTCGATTCGAGGAAGATTTCTTTTTGCTTATAAACAAGTGTAATTTTTTCATAAATTGATTTCATCTGATTTCTCTTGTTTATTTTTCACTATAAACACCGAGTAGACTCAAAAATCCTCGCTCACACAAATATAATGCTGTTGAAAATACGTAAATAATAAAAGTTGATTCCTCGGGGTTAAATATCATGTGATATGAGCAAGTAATCTTTCGCTTAAACGAAATTTTTGTTTTTTTATTATGAGTTAAAAAAAAAATGGCTATACATATTTGTTGCTATGGCCTATCATTGACATATTCATGAACCGCTGATTGGGAATCACTGTTAAAGACACGTACCTACCTACACAATAACAAATAATTAAAATATTCATTGATGTTGTTATTGTTAGGATTGTTGATCAAAATTCAGTACGAGAACCTCAACCGAGTCCACCTCCGTTCCCATCGCGGAGACATTCTTCGTGTATTGACGACAACATGGATATCGACACTGACCTTGTAAGTAAAACAACATACCTAATATTCTTTAACTATATTATAATATTATATTAAATACAATATCCGTAAACACGTATTACGTAATAATATAGATTTTCTATTTAATAATAGAAAATACTATAATTACACACTATAATTATATAGTGTGTTTCATTCAAATGGTAACAAAAAATATTTCAGGCAAAAGGGAGTTTTTAAAAAGTATCAAAACACATATTTTGAAGCGATTTTCAAAATGTTAACACTTTGATGAGCGATAAAACTCATATAGGTAATTTTCTTAAAATAAATAAAAACATCTTATTTTAGCATCAGATTCATTTTAAATGCAATTTTTTTTTTTGTCTCAAAATCACCTGTGAACCGTTTAAAGTTTATAAATATGATTTTTTTGCAGAGTGAATGTTACTCTAAAATTCGATTTTTAAACAATAGGTCTGCCTGCAATCCATTCTTTAGTTTTGAGGAATATTTTTTCACCACGTTTAGGAATAGTGGATCTTTCGGCCGTTTTCTTTGAATAAAATGTGTACATTTAATAATGAAACAAATATTGTGCCACTATTTCTGGATTTTTCTTCTATCTTGGCTCTGTGGTGGCCAAAGTTTCAGATTTAATCATAAAATCGGCTATGTATAGTTATTTGATTTATCTGTGGTTATACCATTATACAATTTTATATACAAATAAAAACCAATTTTCCTCGATTTCCATGTAGTGTTCTGATAATAATTTAATAATTGTATCAATAAACAAAATAAATAAAACCACGTGAACGGCGTGGCGGCGCGGTGACTAAATAAATATCACGGAACCCTAACGTCCGATTTGTCAATTTTTTTTTTTTTTTAAATTATATAATATAGTAGGATATTATGATTAAGTGGTTATATTATTAAAAGCAAATGGAAAAGTAATCGTGAAACCGATGTACATAATTACGTAGTAATTAAGCGGTACACTCGATTTAAATTGAAAAAAAAATATATTTGTATTATCGGGTCAATATATATTTTATATTGAATCCGACTTACGAATAAATTATTCTTTTCCATATACGAGCGTTTTAATTTTTATTTCGGTATCGGATAAAAACACTATAATATACACGATTGTAAACTTGTAGCACTGCAGATTTAATAGTGTTTGAAATCGCCTGGGTATACGTACGTATGTATAATTGTTATTTTTTAGAACATTGTGAATAATAATCGTGTGGGCTCATCGAATAGAGTTGTTTTTTTTTTTTTTATATATATTTTAACTGACCACGAAGAATTATTTTTTTAATTATACTTTTATGTAAGATATTGTAGATCAGTGGACTGTGTACGACGACAACGAAAAACACAGTCCGGATAACAGTAATACCCTTAAAAAAAGTATCTGAAAAAGTATTTAGAGCATTCTGTTTTATCATGTATGTCAATAGAAATAGAAATTTAGTGTTCTAAGCTGTCATCCAAATAAATGTACGTAGTTAAATCTTAAAATTGATCTTTTCAAATCGTAATCAATATAATATTTTTAAGAAATAATCGATAAAATATTTTATTTATAAATTAGTTATTAAGTATCATCAATCGCGTGACGTTTTTAAAATCTAGATGTGTTCATATTCGGAATAATCCTAGCATTCAGTTTTTATGGAAAAAAATGATCTTCGTGATCAAAAAATTGCTGATAGTCTATCTTTATCTAGATGAAAAACGATTGTCACGTATATCTATTAATTTTTCTAGTGATAATATCTTATCTTTGTACAGGTAATTTAAATTTTATTTGTGTATATGGCTAGGTATAAACTATTGTAAATACGGTGGCGAATAACGTGTTAACATCCCGTACGTGTAAACACGTGATCCTTCACCGATATTTATTTTTAGAGTACTTACTACCTACTAAATGCTTTATTTTAAACATAATTAAAAGTAATAAAAGTAGCGAATAAAATCGATTAAAGGATTTGTTTGAAAATTAAACAAAATTTGCCGATTTCGGACAATTTTTTTAATTTATTATTTTGTTATTCGATGCGTAATTTTTGTAAATTTAATTATATTACTATTATTGTAGGTAATCGCGTATTTTTCATGATAAAATTAGAAGTGAATGCGTGCAATTATTGAGCATTCAAATTTTTATTAGAGGAAGCAATCTATGGCTCGAATCTTAAAATTATAATAATCAGGATTCATCCATAATGTTACCAGAAAACTTTCATAAAGATTTTGATTAGAGCAGACATCATAATATTATGTTCACAGAGGCAGAAAATAAAAATAATTAAACGTCATTTCTTTCGGTTCGAAATTCTAAAATTTCCACTCGACGATTATCGCAGATGTTATTTTTCAATACTCAGTATAAGTGTACAGCAGTTTCTCATCATTTTTGATACAGCAGACCAATTGAACAATTTTCGATAACTCGCGAACCACATAGATTAGCTGATGACCTTTTATTGTTTTTCCTTTTGGTAATCGGCGAAAATAAAAATTGTTGAACACTGCACAAAAGCATACATAAATAATACATCGGTTGGTGGTTATAAAAACGACAAACCACAATAGCCCCGTCAATTGTTCTCGTATAGCGGTGGAAAAATACATAAAGTCATTACAGACAAGCTGGTTTATAAACACAAACTATTACATCTCGTATAAATATGCCAATATTTTTATTACAGTAAATTACAATTACATATATTATACAACATTACGAGCTGTGGCCCCGCCGGGAATTTCCCCGGTCTCACGCAAACTCAATATGTCTCTAATATGACTGGATATGTACCACTAGTCCCGCTCGCTGACACCTGCTGCCAGCTCGCAAACCACCTGCAGTAGATGCACGCCAAACAAATTGTCTATAGACCGGAGAGTTCATTGTGCTAAGACAATATAAGAATTGAAACGATATGTATGTGAAAACAGTATGAATTAAACGAATTTTTAAATTACAAATTTGTTGAATATTTTTGTTTAAATATAATACGAATGACGTTGAGTGATTCGATATAAGCGAAAGTGTATCAAATTTTTACACGTCTCGCGGATATACTGCAGCCGTGAAAAAAAAAAAGTAATTTAACATAAGCGCACATTTTTTCAAAAACCACGGGAACACTTTGGATCGACAAAGTAAAATAAAACATACTGTACAAAGAATTATTTTTTTTTTTATGTTTTAAAAATATAATTTTAATAATAATAATGATTTCACCTCGTTACTCGTTACTCAGAAATACAAAAAACGAGTAAAAATCTACGTCAATATTCCATACGAAAATAATATTTAACAACGTTTGAGTTCAACTTACCTCAATTTTTTTACGTACCTATCAGCTAGGTGACATCTTTTTTAACCTTTCTGAAATGGACATTTTCTTTAATAAATAATAACCAAATAAAAAACTGACATATTTCACACCACGGAAGAACCACTGTTGTAGGTGGCCAAAATCATTGTCAAATAAAAAAACAAAAATTAAAACCAATATATTCTTCGCTGTGTTAAGAATCTAAAACGCGAATTAATTCATTTTATTTGTTGGACTCTAAGTGAAGCGAAGAATGTATTGGTTTCACTTTCATGTGTGCTTTTAATTTTTAATTTTTTCTGTCTGTTAACAATTTTTCTATCAACGTTTTTGTTTTATATTGGATAATTTTGATGCGTTTTTTTAGTAATAGTTTGTCGTTGTGTAATATAAATTAATAAACTTTATGTAACCAATCTCTCTAAAATATCACCTATAATAGTGGCACATCCGTCCACAGTAACAGATCTTTTATATGTTTACTTTAGATCACTAATAATCATTGCGCTAAAAGTTTTGTTTACGTATAATTTTATGTTTGACCTATTTTAATACTATACGAGTATTTTATTTATTTATTTGTTTTTTTCTTTTTTTAATATGATTCCTATATAACTGAATACTTAATAGGTATAAGAGTACACCACAAATATTATCCAGCCCAATCTAGATCAATAATATTCAATTTAAAATTTTAATACCAAAGCATCAAGATACTATCACGGAACCACTTCTGTCGTAAGAGACGACAAATGGGGTTGCATTAGGTCGACAACCGTTGTAAAGTTCTGTTGAACAATACGAGGTGTTCTAAACAAGACTTGTGGGTTGATTGTCCCATATCAGAAGTGTATAGGAACAACAAGTGAGAGAAATTACCATGGTGCATGATGTTCGCAGATGATACATAACTTTGGTAGGTGAAAATCTAGAAAAAGTTAGCAATAGACTTGAGAAATGGTAGAATTTGAATGAAAGAGAACAAATATAATTAAAAAGTAAAACAAAGTATACAGAGTATGAGTTTGGAGGAATAGGAAAAAACAGCTAATGACAATTTATTTGGAAAAGTTTAGTTTTAAATAGCCTTATTTATATTCTATAAAATTAACTGTAATTTGTAATTTCTTTTTAATTAACTTTTTAACTAATCTTCTATACTTCATTAAACTAATTCAATATTGAATAAAAAAATTGTTTAAAAATTAGAGTTTATTATTTTACTACATGAACTTCCAAATGAAAAAACATTGTGTATAGTTTAAGTAGGTATCTGTTTCGAGAAGCATAATCTATTTTGTATTATTAAACGTGAAGAGAATAAACCGCAGTTATATTTTGTGAAATAGATGCAAAGGTTGTCCATTTTTCGAAACGAACAATGGGATACTAATACGATGTATAAGCTATAAATGTTTATAAAAAAAAATGTTAAAACGGTAACGCGATTATACTGTTCCAGATTCTGAGCTAAGCGAGAATTAAATTGGTTTTTACAATGATGTTTATTTTTAAAACCGGAAAAATATATGAAAATAATACTTTCAATTTTGTTTTTTTTTATTGTAATTCAGTTAAAAATGTCCGTAAAGACTTGAAATTTAAATAGAAACCTTATATTTGCGTTTTATAGACGTGGTACAATTTTCAAAACATTTAAGCCATTTTCATTCATAGATATTTTAATTTTGCGAGTTTTTACGTAAACTGTTATCGGTAAGTACTCTACAGAAAAACTATTATAAGTTCATTATAAGTTGTACATAATGGTCAAAAGTTGAGTTTAATATATATTTTTTTTTTTTTATACAAATTTTAATATCCAATTTTGACGGAATTTGTAAATATTACATTTTTTTAAAAATATGTAAAACCCAACAAATCGGTTTTTATTAGCAATGATTAATCGTTAAGTAAAAAAATACATTAAATTCTCCCTCTATATCCTATCTTCCTAACTTCTCACCTACAACAGTGGTCCACCCAAAATATTTCCGTATTTTTGTTAAAATGGTATTATGAAATGTAGTTTTCTACTTAAATACTATAGTCAACAAGATATTGGGTATTTCGCCCAAACAGCATTCGGTAATATTATATTGTTATTATTATTTGTAACTATTATTAAAGATGATTAAGTAAGGATACGATTTATTTAAATAGTTTCTATGGAATTTGAGAAAAATTAATACGTAATTATTATGTTATTATTTTCGTATTATAGTATCATAATACAAACCCCGTTGTTCTCGACAGAATTATTTGTTTTCACAAATGCATTTCGTTAAATACGTCGTAAATAATATTATTATTAATCTAATTAAAGAATACCAGTTTGAATAAAAAAATGTTTCCAAACAACGCAAATACAATAATATCGTGAATAGATTTCTGGTGAGACAATGGAAATGTATTATTTTCACTATGATATGTTCTCCCCCCCGTTAAATATAATTTTTCAATTGCCAATTTTGTACATTAAAGTATGTGGATTTTTCGCCGGGTATTTTTTATTAAAACAATTTTTATAGATTCACAGCAGTTTTTCTAAAAATGTAATAAAAATACCATGGTTTTATTTTTATTTATTATTTCTAGGTTAACTTGATTACACGCTGGAAAATTACTAAAAGACACTGTGTATAAACTTATTAGATTCCGAGCTCTAATCAGAATCTTTCTTTGAATGCGATTATTTATCGTTGCTTTTAGTATAATATAAATTAAATTACCCTGTATCCTATACCTTACCAAATAATCACCTATAAAAGTAAACCCGACTTTTTAAAAACTTTGTTATTGGGAGCGGAACATATTATTACCATAATATATCATATTATGGTAAAATAATTAAATAGGCATTAAATATTTTCTTTAATAATATTTGTTTAATATTGTACCGATTGAAAATTTGACCACGTCTAAAAAAGGCAAATATAAGTTTTTTTTTCCAAATTTTTAGTCCATCAAGTTGATACGAATAGTTTTGGCTAAATTTCAAAAAAAAAATATCAACATTCTTATAAAAAGCCTAAAAATGACTCAAATGTTTTGAAAATTTCACTTCATTTAGAAAAGACAAATATAAGTTTTATGTCAAAACTTCAACTGTTTGTAAATATTTTTAACTGAATTATAAAAAATAACAAAATCGATAAAACAATAAAAGCATTAATTTCGTACATTTCCCGTTTTTCTTACGTTTTGTCTTGGTTTTTCCCAGGTATTCTGAAAACCAATTGGAAAATCAAAAAATGACCTTTTAAAAATACAATCAGCACAATATTTACTTTCCGAAATGGTACCGCACGTATATATCGAAGTAAGGTGTTTTAGTCGAATTTTTGTACATAGTATATAACAAAAAGGCCATTTTTTGAAGTTTTCATTAATATTCGAGATAATGAGAAAAACCTCGTTCTTTAAATTAAAAAAGATTGAAAGATTAAAAATAAAGTTGTCATTGGTTTTTATTTATTTTTTGTAATTATTAAGTTTTTATTATTTTAATCTATTTTAAATATTGTTGTCTTGGAAACGCACATTGTTGTAGTCATTTTAAAATAATATGATATGTAATATACCATATATAGCATTGTTGACAATGTAACACTATCAACTGAATTCCACTCAGAATCGACTTTTCGTTGCAATGGTTTATCGTTCCTTACATATATAAATTAAATTTCCGTCTGTATCCTACCTTCCCAACTTCCCACCTATAACAGTGGCTTCACCCACGTACGAAGTATGTCCGTTTTAATTTTAGACTCCGATCGTAGCGAGGGAGCTATTGGCTTTACAATGCTGTTTATTTCATTTTTTCATTGTTCTTTTTTATAGTCTGTGGACATTTTTTTTCCTAGTAAGCTTGCTCTAATTTTTACGTGTAATTCTTTTTTGGAAGCTCAAGTTGACTAGATTGTACTTTTAAAAAGTCATTTTTTGAATAAAAGTACTTAAGTGGGAAAAAAAGTAGGAAAACTTACAATTTCACGATTTCATTATTTTATGAAAACAAGGACGACATTTTCTACCATAAAAAATTGATTTAATCGAAAAATCACAAGATACCTTTTTGATTTATTATCTTACGGTATCATTGCCAAAACCTTTGAGCCACATATGAGCATTTAAGGAATTTTAATTTTTGGAAGTTTTTTGCAGTTATAAATTCATGTAAAGACTTGAAATCAAGTAATAACTAAATTAAAAAATGATCTCCTAAAAGTACTATCTGGTCAACATTCCCTTTCGGAAGTGGTGCGTGCGTATATCTTAGCAAGATTTATAGTCGAATTTTTGTACACAGTAGAAAAAAAAATAAATACTTTGGTAAAACCAATACATTCTTCACTACACTCAGAATCTAAAAGGAAAAGAACAGGAAAGTTTACGAAAATAATGCTTTTTTTTATTTTCAATTTGGTTTTTTGTTGTAACTCAGTTAAATATATTCGTAGAGAGCTGAAATTAGGACAGAAAATCTATATTTGTTTTTTCTAAACGTGTTTAGGTTACAAAATAATTAGTCTTTTAAACTAAATGTCTGAAAATTAAACAGGAAGTACATTTACTTAAAATGATGAGTTGTATTTAGTAGTCAAAAATAAAGGTTATATAGTGTTGTATATTTTTTTTTATAAGAATTTTAATATTAAATTTTGAAAAAAATCGTAATTATTATGGACTTTCAAATCATGTAAAACCGATTTTCGGTTTTAAAAATCAAAATCTTTTTTCGTTGCAATTGCTCATTGTTACTTACAGATACACATTAAATATAACTGATGTATCCTATCTTCCCAGCTTCTTTCTTACAATAGTAGCGCACCCATCGGCTGTTTATTTTTGCTTTATTATTATAAAATTTAAGAAAACTTAATTTTGAATATAAATTTACGACGTTCTAAAACATACATCTATTATACTGTTTAATTAATTTATACTTTGAAGGTTTACAGATTTTATTTATTATCATTATTTATTACGACTAAGAATTTTTATTTTTGGTAAAAGATTAATAAAATATAATAAAAATATTTCAAGAAAACATCTAGGTTTATAAATACTGTAATTCGAAATAAATTATAAAATGCTGATAAATGTGCCAAAAAGTGCGCATATTTCGTTTTGGTCTGATTTTTGTTATAGAAATATACTTTTTCAAGCATTTGTAATTAATAATTTGTAGGGCTTAGGTATGTTTTACTTTTATTAAGGAAATTTTTATAATTTTTGTTTATAATCGGTATAAAACTTTTATCGCATGATTCTAAATGAAAAAGGATATCTACCGCCATAAATCCAGTTTCTAAATCAATATTGTTAAAGAAAAAGGTCGTAAATATTCCGATGTTTCCTGAATGCCCCGGCATATAGGTACCTGCAAATACTCCCACAAATTATTTCTATAGTTTTAAAACTAACAAAATTGAGTTATTACGTAGCATTGTTGTATAGGTACCGAATTATATACAAGCATATTTTTATTCAAAGCATATAGTAGAAATATTCAGTGTTGCATAAAATATTTCAAAATATAATATCTATACAAAGATAAAGATGTAGATAAAAACAATTAATCCAACATTACAATTATTGTTGGTATATCTAATTAGTTAATCAATTGATATTATGTTTAATAGTGGCGATGAATAAGACAATTTAAATTATGTTTAACTTTATCAATTTAAAAAATTAACCAAAATTAGTAAACTTCTGTAACGCCGAAATTTTGTATCAAAATCTATACAACTTGTAAAAAAAACCTAAACAAAATAAAAGTTATTGCATTTTTCAGATCTTCATGGGACGTAATCTGAAAAATTGAATAAAAAAGGAAATTGTATTTAATTGTAATACCAATAATTATAATAGTATGCGATTGAAATAGTACAACAATTTTAGTTTATAGATTATTTTATGCTCGTATATAACTATTAACTACAAATGCATATTATAATCAATGTACGTCCAATTTGGAATGCATTCATTATATTATTATTGTAGTGCAATAGCCAGTAGGTAGTGTACCTCGAAAATCTGAAATTGTAGTGGAATTGTTATTAAGTATAAAAACAATATTCATACTTGGTGATAATGATGGAACCGGCTGTTTCGTTACCATTAGCGTTATATTATTATTGTAATCTATGGTATCATCAATAACCAAGACCTACGAACAACAAGGTCGTTGTCATACTATTTTTGAAATCACCGAAAAACGTCATAGATGATCGTTTGACGGTTTCACAGAAGGTAAAGGTACTTTCCATCATATATAAGCACCGTCTATAGATTTCCCGAACATATACTACGCGTGTTTGGTTTGCAATAGGTCAACCGAACTATATAATTGTGTCTACCCAACAAATACTAAACATCATATTGTATTGTAATAGTTTTATTTTAAATTTTACGAACAACATCGAAACCAACAATGAATTCTATACAAGTAAGTAAAATACGGTTACACAAATAATAATAAAAACCTATCCAAATTTAAAATACTTTTGTACATAGGTATCAGATACAAGAAAAGATAACTTAGTTTTTATTAGTTTATACTGATAATAATATTATAGTTGCTAAATACATATTTAATTATTCACATTTATTTTTTTTTTTTTTTTACTTAACAAAATGTATAAAACATATATTATAACTATTTGTATTTTGGTACTCGTTCAATATACCGTGCATTGTCTTACGTTCATAATGCGATATTTCTACTTTGTTACATTTTTTTTTGAATCTCGTTTTCTACTATTTTTAAGAACTTCATTCAATCCACCGGCACAAATTGTTTGGTTTTTAATTTTGGTAAATGCTTGTTCATTAAGTAATAAATCACGTTTTTTTTTAAAAAAAACTTACACATATTTCTTCATTTTAAATGATAAGCCGACACAAATTATTTATAGTTAATTAATTTTTGTTGTGTAAGCTTAATTCTTAATTTGTTGAACTTTATTGTTTTGACAATAAAGTTAATTCAGGTAGGTATACACATTAGATATTGAGCGTATTGAACGAGTACCTGTATTTTTTACATTTAATAGTTTCATTTCTAAATTGTATATAATTATTATAATGACAAAATATTGAAGTTTACAAAAAGACAAGAATTGTATTTTATTGTTTTTAAAGTTTCAAAAACACAGGAAAACATGATTTTGTTCAATAGATATTTGAAGGAACATTAAAAATTCTATTTTTTCAATACTTTAATTTATAACTCTGCCATAAAAGCTAAATTTAAAGTTCAAAGTTCGATAGTTAAAGTTAGTTGTTATATTACATAAAGAAGTACAGAGAATAATCAAAACTGAAAAAATTAAGTCACTCAAAAGTCATCAATTATAATTTAAATAGTTTTTTTTTATTTTCTAATTTTTACTAAATGCTCACTTTGTTTATATCTTTAATAAATTAGCTAACAGGGCTTAGCAGTGTCTTTTACCTCATTGTACCTATAAACAGTATTAATTATTAGACAACACCTCCTAAGTCCTAATCCCCGGCCTATCGATCAACAAGACGATATTGAGTTCAAGAGATTTGGTCTAAATTATGTTTTTTTTTTCTCTTACTTTCACACTCTCACTAATATTGTCTTGTTGCATCTTCCTTTAAGTACCGTACATTGTTTAATATGTCTATATATCTTAAAAATAAATTTGTTAAAATATAACTCTGTGTATTACTTGTATAGATATTTTTCTTATTGGTCACGAGCTGCTTGGTCGTATCGGGAAACGAGGTTCCGCACAAATATGCGTATTCCATGGACAACCTGCAGACTACCGGCAATTTGAAAAAACCAATCTCTGCCGAAAACCGTGACTACGTGGGCAAACAAATACAGATGAATGCGTTCAAATCTAGCCCACAAACAGATTTAGGTGCACAAGTAAATCGTGAACCGGTAGTCATGGCTTCAAAGACCGCCGACTCCATCGAACCTGTCATTTCGTTCTCACCCAAATTCCAGCATCACTCACAGTTTATCATGACTCCAGCACCAATTTCGATTGTCGACGAATTAGGGCCTTCCGATATACTTACAAATACCCCTATGTTGAAAACACAATTAGTGGACGAAATCCAAGCGTCTTCTGAATCGTTACCAGCGAACTTGAGCACTGTCGAAATTGAACCTGTTTATTTCAATTCCGCCACTTCTATGGCCGATCCAATGTCGCAAACTCGATTAGCCAATGAACCTACACTATTAAACATCGGTCGTTCTTTGCCTACACAAATGTTACAAAAAGCCGATTTCGCATTTGAACCGGAAGTTTCACATTCCATAAAATCAATACCTTCCGATATAAGATCACCGACTGAATATGAGCCCGTATCCCCAGCACCGATTCTCAGCGCTATCAATATTAAACCTGCCTACTTTATTTCCACCGCTCCTATGGCCGATTCAATGTTGCAAACTCGATTACCTGACAAACCTGCAATGTTGAACATCGCTAGTCCTTCGCTATTGCCCACGCAAATGTTACAAAAGACAGATTTTGGATCTGAATCTCCAGCACTATGGGAATCCCGTTTTTCGAATGCCCCGATGCCGATCACTCAGGAAACTGATAACATAAAATACGATGACAGTCCGATCGAGCAGACCAAACTTGCAACTTTTCCATCAAACGGTCTTTCGTATAGCTCCCCTTTAATCTATAACAAAATGGCTACGACTACATTAAAAAGTCCTTCAATTGACATTTCAAATCAGTACTCTGATCCAATTACATCGTACAAAATGCCATTGTCCACCTTTTCGAATCAACCGTTTGATGGTAAAGTGATGATGACAGATAAACTAGATACATCATTTTCTCAATACGCTCCGGCTGCTCCTGCCAAGTCCATCGAATTACTGCCAGCCGAATTGAGATTACAAACACCTTCCGAGTACGAACCCATATCTCCAGCACCGATTCTGCGCACTGCCGAAATCGAAAATAACCCCTTCATTACCGCTGCTCCTATGGCCTCCACTCCTTTGTTAAAAATCAGATTAGCCAAAGAATCAAAATCATTGAACGCTGCTCGTCGCCCGGTCGTATCTAAGCAAATGTTACAAAACATCGGTTTCTCATCAGCTGCTTTATTCGAAACCCATCTTGCGGACGATTCGGTGCCGACCGTTTTAAAAACTCCAAAATACAATGTCAACCCGATTGGACAGAATAGATTCGCAATTTTGCCTATGGAAAATACCGAATATCAATCCCAATTCATCACCCCCGAATTAACTGCAGACACCACTAACATGCAATACGATTCAGATTCTGCCATTCAATCTCAATATGATTCGGCTTCCAACATCCAATCTCAATATAATTTAGCCTCGTCTACTTCTGCGGGACATCAATACTACTAGACCAAACTCATGGCCACCTCTCCAGAAATATGTGGAAATCAGATTCCGTTCGGTGCTCTAACTGTTTTAATTTTTTCCAACATTGTATACATTTAAATTGAATATAGTATATTTGTACGTTTAACTTATTATAAATGTAATATTATGTTATTTTTCTATTATTTCTATTTATTATTCTTTATTCATATCTAAAAATAAATGTACTGTATAGTGAATAGTAGATATAAAAATACGATTTGTCGGAAGACGGTGTTTTTAAATAGAATTTAATAATAATTTACTTTTTTATACTCATAAACGATTAGGTTTTACATATTTTGCTACAATTGTATACCTAACACAATGTGAGCATGTGGACATATGGAATTACACTGATATAAAATTTGAAAATATCATAATTTTTTTGAAAATTAATTAAATTCGGTCAATTCGAGTTATTGCGAAATACATACGTGAATTTTATAAATGGTTTATTTAGTTTAACTTATTGTTTATAGCTAGTAAATTCCACGTTGTACGATTTTGTCGGTAGCACTCATAGGAATTATTTGTCTATTTGAACGACTTCAGCAATAATGTAGTACAATCATAATCACTAACACCTTTAATAATTGTACCAATTAAATAAAGTATGACACGTAATTAAACACTTGTGTGTAATACAAGGCCAGAAAGATCTATCTGTATAATATTATAATATTATTAAATAGTATTATTTACAACAGCAGATACTTACTCAATAAAATCCTTTATATAAATATTCTCAAAATTATCTAAAAACTATTTCGTCGAGTTTTTTCTCCGTCAAACAAAATGTTGATTCTAAATTATCATCGTAATTCGTCTTATTTACTTAGATATTTACCAATTTTTTTTTATTGCCTAAAATGATCGAGCATCCGGGAAATAAGCAACAATGAACATTTTTTTTAAAAAGGTATACGGTGATTGGGGCTATAAATTTTTGTTTTTTTTGTAGCAGGTAGACCCTGTAATTGGGCCACTATTTTAAACGATTTTTTTTATTGAATCAGATAATTCGATCACTATATTTTAATACACTTTAGATTTAACAAAAGGAAAACCACTATTTTAACCTATTTTAAACCATATTATTATTTTTTTCACTGTTATAAATTTTAATTTCATATATTCGTTATAATTGATTTATGTTCACGGCAATTTTGAGTACTGTGCAAAGCAATCTGTATCATATTATTTTAAAAAAAAAAAATTAATAATTATTTGATTAGTTTTGTATTGTATTTTATATTAGGTATTATATTTTAATGTATTTAAAATTACATATTTTTGTGTTATACTTTTGTGGCTTAATCTCCGGGTACTCTTTAAAAATATACCTTTTATTTGTGGCCCAATACCCGGGTAATAAAATGTACAAAATTATTATTTACGAAGCAGGTAGATAAAATGTGACCCGACTCCCAACCGTCCAAATGATCCTTTTATTTTTGAAAAGATTTTTGGTTAATTTATCTTCCTGCAGTATAACAACGATCTTCTATAAATGAATAATATACGTCAGTTTCTATATTGTTAGTTATTATTTGTTTGGTCTGTTGAAACTTTATTCGAGTATAAACCACGGTTGAACTTTTGAGCTTCTCTAGCTTATAGTTATAATTATACGAATATAGGTAATATCCAGTAGGTAATAAATTGTTAAATAATTCCACTAATTTAGATTTTAAATATCTATAATTCATAGGTATATTGTCTACAATATAATATCATTGAAAACATATTTCATTTAAAAACTACAAAAACGTCGGAGCTACAAAATTATTGGATATTAATAGAATTACAATTGTATAATGTACGTGCTTTATAATTATTCTTCTTCGTGGAGTTATTAGCCAATAAGGCCGTCAAACACTCAATCCTCCCATTCTCCCTGACACTGTCAGGTGCTCATAGTCTACAATCTGACTCTCGATCCATCTAGAAATTCCGCATTCCGTGTTTAATTACAATACGTAAAATTTGATTTTGATTTCACCAAGAACGTCATAATAATAATATTGCATAACTATATTATTAAATGTTATTTAACGTGAATTATCGTTATTCGTTTCACTTTTTATTAAAATTATATTAAATATTGCCTACAAATTATATTATCTTTAATATACACTACAATAATAAATAATTTGTGACACTTGGAGATTAGAATTCGTATTACTATTATTATTTTTTTTTTTTAACAACGAATAAATATAAATTTGTAAACTTCAATACATATTCAAATTACCTACCTATCGGAAAACGTGCGTTAATAGTTATTACATGTGTGTATTATTATTGTATAGGGTGTCCCATGCGGATTTAATGAATTATATTATTGTTTTAGGACAAATATCTATTATCTATATATTATTGTTATTCGGCCACCCGGACGCATTATTAATAATATCTTCAGTATGAGACACCCGTAATATTATTATTATTGTTATAAAGTTGCGTATTTACACACAGACAATGATAATATTATTTAATAACATTTCGGTGGTTTGCGAAGGCTAAATCAAAAACCCATTTTTATAAAATTTCGAGTACAGTCCAAAAGTAATAAATCGCCAATGATTTATAATAATATTATATGATGTATTTTGTTGGAAAAAAAAATTTAAAAAAACAAAATGTATAAAATATAATATAGTACCCTCTGATTTCTTGAACAGTATAGCGAACGAAAACAATATATAATATAGTAGGTATTATATGAAATATATAGATACATACAAAACAAAAACTTTAATTTGGCGTTATTTCAAATCGTATTTTCCAAATAAAGAAAGACATTAGGTATATGTATAGCCAGCAGTTATCTAGTTTTAATATACATTTATAACAAAAAAATAAGTATTTTTTTAAAATTTTGTTTTTAACAACGTTTCGTTAAATTTATATGACACAAGCACAGATGATATTTACAATTTATATATTTTTTTCATAAAATATATTATGCGGAATTTTTTAATTGGTATTTGTTGCATAGAGATACCCATCCATATTTTATATCAGTATAACACTCGATACAATATAAATAACCAAATAATACCGGATTATGTAACAGAATCTAAATTAAATTGGTAATGAAACTTGGACAAATAGCTCAGTTAAAAAAAATGAAACTTTTGAGGAAGCTTTCGAGATGTGGTAATTTAAATAGATACTAAAAATATCACGGAACGAAAAGTTAAAAATGAAGAGGTTTTAAACAGAATAGAAGAAAAACGACGACTTATGATATGTATTCAATCCAGAAGAGATAATAATATGATAAAATATACACTAAGGCTATTCAATTTAAAAAACAATATCGAAGAAGGTGTAAAATAATGCGTGGGAAAATGAAGACAAAAGATAAAATACCTTTATGACTCAAACTATGATGAATCTAAAAGAATAGAGCCATAACAGAGAGGCAAGGAGAGCTGCAACAAACTGATCCAAATATAATTAAAAATAAAAAGAAGAAATTAAATCACAGAATTATGCATTAAAAAAAAAAAATACACGTGTATCATATTTATTATATTTATGTATTCATTTGACTATTAAACGCTTAAACAGGCGTTCAAATAATATAAGACATACCATGAGGTAAATAATTAATGTTATAAGTTTACCGGTTTTTTTTCAATTTTAGAAGGGGGGACACAGGACATAATTGATACAATCATGAGTAATCCAAATTTATAAGTGAAACGCAGAAAATACATAGAATGCAGAGAAATTTCGTTTGTACACTGAAAGCAACGTTAAATCATCGAAAAAACGATTCTAGACAGAGCGCGGTAAACTGGTAAGGTTGTATTAGTCGTGTATGTCCACTTGTAGCCAAAAAAAAAACAGAAATCAATAAAAATAAAACCGATGTATCGTTATTTCTTTTTTTTATATTTTTTTAGGAAAACTCTTGGGAATCTAAAACAACATTTCAAATAATAATACCACTACGGTGAAAACATTTTTCCCTTTTTTTAAGGTGTCGCGTCCACAATTTCGAATATTTTTAATAACCAAAAAAAAGCTTCGCCCAAAAAAAAAACATATCTATTAGGAAAACGTATAGTTTCTTTATCGCTACTATTCTAAGAAGAAATATTTTTTAAACAGTGGTCCCTAGTGGTTGATGTTTTAATAATTTATAAAATAATATGAAAAACGAAACCTAATTTAGACGGACAACTTTCTGATGTCAGTTCCGACAACAGTCGTAACTTGTCGACGATATATCCTTAAAAATTATGATCATCGGTGATCGAGTGTAACACACACTGTGCGGAAAGTAGTTATACTTTCCGACCACTCACCACCAGAATAAAATGTTGTTTATTATTATCATCTTATTACCCCATCGCTGTTTTCATTACTGTTATCTGTTGTTTTTGTTTATCGTCATTAGTTCAGTTTTGATGTGGTTACATTATCGTCGTCGGTTCTAACAACCGAAAAAACGTGGTTCAAAAGTGGTTGATTTCGGTTACAGAACAATCACATCATAACCACAAAATAATAATAATTCATGTGTGGTCCGTGTGTGTTGAGGCCTCAGTTAAACGTTGTTTTTTTATTGTTATTTTTTTTTTGTTAATAACATTTGATCGTACAACAAAGAATGTCATTGTGGAAATATCAATTAGTTTGAACCGAAAACAAATATTCAGGTGGGTACGTCGACAGTTCGACATTGATTTGATGCTGTGAAATATATTATACTGTCCGGTGTTTGGCGAACGTGACTTTGATACGCTGGCGGCGACGGTGTTAAGTTGACCGTGAAGATTAGCGTTCCAGACAAATGCGGCGAGTTATTCGTCTACGATGTCTGCCGTTGACATGTATTAATAGTTATTAGCAAAAACGTATCGAATCGAGATACAAATTATTTCACCGTTAGTTCAAAATGCGCGATTACACGACAACGACAACTGTTACTATTCTAATAAACAAAATATAGTTACTCATCATTATAGTTGTAATAATTTATTCTACGGGTTGATTTATCTATCATAAATCAGAAATTTTCTGGGAGGCTTCTGAATCCTGAGTTATTTTA